GAGACAGAGCCTCAAGCTGTCACCCTGGGTAGAGTGCTGTGGCATCACAGCTCACAGCAACCTCCAACTCCTGGGCTCAAGTGAGTCTCCTGCCTTTGCCTCCCAAGTAGCTGGGACTACAGGCACCCATCACAACGCCCGGCTATTTTTTGGTTGCAGCCATTTGTTGTTTGGCAGTCCCAGGCTGGATTCGAACCCGCCACCTTAGGTGTATGTGGCTGGCACCTTAGCCGCTTGAGCCACGGGCACCGAGCCCATCTCACTCTTGAGTGTCAGATCCTTGCTTGGTTTATACCAGTACTTAAATGCCTCACAGGACCCTCTAATGCAGCCTGTTGTGTATTACAACAAACAAACAACCTATATTTGCTGTTGTGTTTCCCACTTCTGTTTCTCTTTATACACACATACCTTGGCACTTTGCTGTGCTCTCTCTCTCTGTGAATGATACTGTCTTTTCTATATTTTTTATCTCTTTCTCTTTTTTTTTTCTTTTTGAGGCAGAGTCTCATTTTATCACCCACAGTGCTGTGATGTCGTAGCTCACAGCAACCTCAAACTCTTAGGCATAGGTGGTTCTCTTGCCTCAGCCTCCCGAATAGCTGGGACTATAGGCGCCCGCCACTATCCTCAGTTATTTTTAGACACGAGGTCTCACTCTAGCTGGGGCTGGTCTCCAACTTCTGAGCTCAAGCAGTTCTCCTGCCTCGGCCTCCTAAAGTGCTAGGATTACAGGTATGAGCCACTTTAGCCAGGGATACCATCTTTTCACATGTAAGAATTCTGCTTGCCACTCTTTTCATTTTAGGTACAGATTTCATTGATTTTTCTTAATCCATTAGTGGGTAGGTTGTGATAATCTTATCTTTGAAAAGTCTTTTTCAAAATTTACTTCCTTCTTCAAGCCTTTCCTAATTTTCTTGAGCTGTTGTAAGTTTCATTTTAAACCATTTGGCTATAGTTATTTAAAAAAGAAAAGATCTGTACTTTTTGTAAATTAGTAAAGTTGTTGTGTAAGAAAAAACAGAAGAGTGAATGGGTGTGAACATGAGTGGTTGTTTTTGAAGTATGTTAGCTTTAACTCCATCTCTTCTAGGTCTCTGTAATATCCAATCCTTCTAGGTACCATTTATCCTTTATGTATGTTCCTGCTGAAACCATGGCACTATTCTAACTCAAGTTACTGCTGTCTCTTAATTGGGCTATTTTTTTATTCTCACCCCCCACCCAGCTTTGTTCATGCTGTAGTCAGTCATTTTTCTGAAGTAAAAATCTGGTCCTTTAATTTTCATCTTTATGGCCTTAACAGATCTCTAAAAATTTTAATAGGGCTTATAAAACAATTTTTGTTGGCTGCTTCTGACCTTAGGTATCTAGCCTCATCTTTGCCATTGACCAGTACCTCTCCCTAACTGCCAGCTTTCAGACTCTCCCTTATATTAATTTCTGTTCATCTTGTAAGTCCTACAGTAGATATTGCCTCCTCCTGAAAAGGTTACTTAACCATTAAAGGACGGGAGTTAATTACCACTTTGAGGTGTTGCCATAGTACCTTCTGTCTCTGCAGTTACAATGTCTGCCATCCACTCAGTTAATGACACTAGGAACCTGCCAGTCATCTTGGATTCCTTTTCCCGCATTCTTTATTTATTTATTTATTTATTTTTTTGGAGACAGAGCCTCAAGCTGTCCCCCTGGGTAGAGTACCATGGCATCACAGCTCACAGCAACCTCCAACTCCTGGGCTCAAGCGAGTCTCCTGCCTCAGCCTCCCAAGTAGCTGGGACTACAGGCGCCCG